ACAACACACACCAAACACATGACCTACCACAAGGTACCGCAACACACAACCTGCACACGCTAACAACAGACGCCAAACACATGACCTACCACAAGGTACCGCAACACACAACCTGCACATGCTAACAACACACACCAAACACATGACCTACCACAAGGTACCGCAACACACAACCTGCACACGCTAACAACACACACCAAACACATGACCTACCACAAGGTACCGCAACACACAACCTGCACACGCTAACAACACACACCAAACACATGACCTACCACAAGGTACCGCAACACACAACCTGCACACGCTAACAACACACACCAAACACATGACCTACCACAAGGTACCGCAACACACAACCTGCACACGCTAACAACACACACCAAACACATGACCTACCACAAGGTACCGCAACACACAACCTGCACACGCTAACAACACACACCAAACACATGACCTACCACAAGGTACCGCAACACACAACCTGCACACGCTAACAACACACACCAAACACATGACCTACCACAAGGTACCGCAACACACAACCTGCACACGCTAACAACACACGCCAAACACATGACCTACCACAAGGTATCGCAACACACAACCTGCACACACTAACAACACACACCAAACACATGACCTACCACAAGGTACCGCAACACACAACCTGCACACGCTAACAACAGACGCCAAACACATGACCTACCACAAGGTACCGCAACACACAACCTGCACACGCTAACAACACACACCAAACACATGACCTACCACAAGGTATCGCAACACACAACCTGCACATGCTAACAACACACACCAAACACATGACCTACCACAAGGTACCGCAACACACAACCTGCACACGCTAACAACACACACCAAACACATGACCTACCACAAGGTACCGCAACACACAACCTGCACACGCTAACAACAGACGCCAAACACATGACCTACCACAAGGTACCGCAACACACAACCTGCACACGCTAACAACACACACCAAACACATGACCTACCACAAGGTACCGCAACACACAACCTGCACACGCTAACAACACACACCAAACACATGACCTACCACAAGGTACCGCAACACACAACCTGCACATGCTAACAACACACACCAAACACATGACCTACCACAAGGTACCGCAACACACAACCTGCACACGCTAACAACACACACCAAACACATGACCTACCACAAGGTACCGCAACACACAACCTGCACACGCTAACAACACACACCAAACACATGACCTACCACAAGGTACCGCAACACACAACCTGCACACGCTAACAACACACGCCAAACACATGACCTACCACAAGGTACCGCAACACACAACCTGCACACGCTAACAACACACACCAAACACATGACCTACCACAAGGTACCGCAACACACAACCTGCACACACTAACAACACACACCAAACACATGACCTGCCACAAGGTATCGCAACACACAACCTGCACACGCTAACAACACACACCAAACACATGACCTACCACAAGGTACCGCAACACACAACCTGCACACGCTAACAACACACACCAAACACATGATCTACCACAAGGTACCGCAACACACAACCTGCACACGCTAACAACACACGCCAAACACATGACCTACCACAAGGTACCGCAACACACAACCTGCACACGCTAACAACACACACCAAACACATGACCTACCACAAGGTACCGCAACACACAACCTGCACACGCTAACAACACACACCAAACACATGACCTACCACAAGGTACCGCAACACACAACCTGCACACGCTAACAACACACACCAAACACATGACCTACCACAAGGTACCGCACCAAACACATGACCTGCTAGACGCTAACAACACGCACTGTAAACACAACCTGCTACATGTTAACAACACACCGAAAACAGCCTGCTACATGCTAACAATGTACAACAAAAACAACCTGTTACATGCTAAAAACACAATGAAACCAACCTGCTACATGTTACACGCTAACAGACAGAACACATAACCTGCTACACGTTAACACAACAAGCACAAAACCTGCAACTTGTTAACAACACGCACCAAAAACAACCTTTTACATGTTAACAAAATTCAACGAACACACAACCTGTTACACACTGACAACACACAGAACAGTCAAGAGACTGTCAAGAAATGCACATAAACTGCTAAATTGTCTAATTATCGTTATCAACAAAATCCCATAAAATATCAAGATATATTTGTTGTCAATATCGCACAGCCCTAGTGGTTATGTTTGTTTCAGCATTAGAGAACACAAATTGGATGTACAAGCTAGCAAATTATTGGAAAAATGTGTGAAGAGCCTGTGCTCAGATCATTCATCCATCCAGGATTGATTATTTAGCAGACATAACAAAACAAACTGGAGTATAAAGTTGTGCTTAGCACATGTATCTGCTAAGCGTCGCTAACAAAACTCTGAATATCTTTCAAAGATTTGATGGCATGAAGCTCACAAACGTTCACTAATCCAGGGAAGTTTCTCCCTCATTCATCATTTCTGGCAACGTTTTCAATCATTTACATTCAGTTTGATTTAATCTGACTATACTGTGGTTGAGTTACTGTCTTTAATGTCCTTCATGCTCAAACGACCGCTTGCTTATTCAATCTGTGTAAATAAACATTTGTTTTAATGTGACCTGCCAAGTTAAATAATGAAACGCACAGCGAGCGCTGGCTACCCCGGTTCAGCAGCCGTATGTCTCTCACAGATGTACGTTACATATGGATTTCTGTATAATTCTGTCGACCTTTAGAGATGAAACAGAAAACCATCTTAGTTCAGCATATTCAGCAAAATATCAAGTTTGATGAGTGTCTGAAATGTCATAAACACAGTTATTATCGCCCATCTTTATTTCTCTGTGGCATTTTAAGTAGAGATTGACCTCAGATTTCCGTGACATTTCATCTTGTGTGTATCTGTGCTGAATGGAAAACAAAGCATACTTCAGCTCACAGTTTGACCCGAGCCGAACCCCACCATAAGACTACAGCCAACATGTGACCACTCAGAAACAGTTCAGACTAAACACTTCTGAGTTTAGAAAGAGACATATTCTTGAGATTCTTGGTAACGTCCCCGGCTGCTGTTTTCTAACATGCGGTAAAGCTGTTATCTACTGGGTAAAGACTGAAATATACAACACAAGAATGAATGATAACTATAAGGATAACAATAGAGATATAGTTCTAAAATCGGTCCACAGCTCAACTATTAACGATAAAGGCACAGAGAAATAATATACAGGTGAAACTCGAAAAATTAGAATATCGTGCAAAAGTTCATTTATTTCAGTAATTCAACTTAAAAGGTGAAACTAATATATTATATAGACTCATTACATGCAAAGTAAGATATTTCAAGCCTTTATTTGTTATAATTTTAAGCCATAATCATCAAAGTTATAACAACTAAAGGCTTGAAATATCTCACTTTGCATGTAATGAGTCTATAATATATTAGTTTCACCTTTTAAGTTGAATTACTAAAATAAATGAACTTTTGCACAATATTCTAATTTTTCAAGTTTCACCTGTAGTTGGAATCACTTTCAGAACGAGTTTTCCAGCTGATGAACAATAAAAACTTTGACAGCCAATCAGAATCCTGCTTTAAAGAGCTCCAGCATTTAAAGTGGCAGATGTACGCGTTTATAAGAAACAGGAGGATATCGTCCGCTGGTGTGGAAGATAATAGTTATCTTTATAGCTATTGTTCTTGGGGTTAAGTCTTAAAGTGATAGTTCACCCAAAAATGATCATTCTGTCTTTATTTACCCGTATGTCGTTCAAACTTGTATGACTTTCATTCATCTTAAAACAGAAATTATATTTTTAATGAAACCCGAGTGATTTCTATCCCTCCATTCAATGTCCACACTTCCAAACCTTTGAAACGTTCTTAAAGAGTGTGTAAAAGTGATATGAATGGAGCGGTTTAATCCAAGTCTTCAGAAGAAACACGATCGCTTTATATGATGAACACGTTTAATTTAAGCTTTTATTTTAACATCGATCAACATGCATACATGTAGAGCACATCAAATATGGTAAACATGGTAGCTCAAATGTGCTCGTCTGACAAACGAGAACAAAACTCATAGGTCATGTCTCGTCACAAGACATGGATTAAACCTCTGTATTCATATTGATTACATTTACAATGTCTCATATTAATTACATTTACAATGCCTGAACGTTTTGAAGCGTCTAAGTTGACTGCAGTTTCAATGGAGGGACAAAAATCTCTTGGGTTTCATTAAAAATATCTTCATCTGTTCCAAAGATGAACGAAAGTCTTGTGTAAAGACCTGTAAATGATGACTGAATTTTGAAGTCTTGGTGAACTAACACTTTAATACACATGTAAGCCATAATAACCTATGAAATGCTACCATAAATGCTCAACTGAAGTCAATGTTTTTTTATGATTGGTCCAGCTAATGTCTAGTCACCTTAATTTCTAAAGCGCTTTATACAATACAGATTGTTTCCACATAAGTTGCACGGTAATAATCAGGAATCAATGATGCATCATCATAAAGCAAACTCTATAAAGCAGCTCTAACAAGACAATAGTGTCATTATTCAGTTCAGTGTAACTGTAAAGTTCATCAATTATGAGTTCGATGCATCTATAAGCAGCTCTACATAAGACAATAGTGTTATGCACTGAGTCAGTTTACTATTGATTCAATTCAGTTCAATAACTGTGATGTGGCAAAGTTCTTCAATTATGAAACGCAGTCGACTCGACTATGAAGAAGCTCTGCAGAAAACAGTGATGTGATCATCCAGCCTAATTCAGCTCAAGTTTGGTTCTCACCCAGTAGTGTCAGTGCAGGCATATCATTTAGCCAAACGCCGGCCCATTGAGCGCCGGCATTACGGCGGTCTCTGAGTCGCTCTGAGGGTTGTGTTGGTGACGAGCTCCTCTGCTGTGGTCCCTGCAGAAGTATCCCGAGAAGCTGTACTTCGAAGGCCTGGCGGAGCAGGTCAACCCCCCCATTCAGCTGCAGTCCCAGTACCTGCCCATCTACTTCGGGAACGTGTGCCTGCGCTTCCTTCCCGTGTTCGACATCGTCATCCATCGCTTCCTGGAGCTGCTGCCCGTGTCCAAGTCTCTGGAGACGCTGCTCGACCACCTGGGCGGGCTCTACAAGTTTCACGGTGAGAGGCAGGAAGGCTAGTGGATCTCACGCAGGGAATTAAAAGAGTTTAAATTATTATTTAGGAGCACCTATGCTGCTTTTTCCATCTTTCTATAGTGTGTAATGTTGCCGTTTGAGCATGAAAAAGAGAGTTCTTCTCTATATCAGTGTCAGTGTTTCTGAACTCCTGAAACGCCTCCATTGTTGTCTTGAGTTTCTTCCGGGAACGAACACGTCACAATATTCCTCATTATAATAATTCATGCGCAGAATAAAGGGGCGGGGCCTGGTTGAGTTAGTTAGTAGTGTGTTAAACTGGCGGTTATGGTAAGAGGCGGACATTTCCCAAACACACTCAAAGTGCTCGACCAATCACAACACACTGCTCCAGTCGACCGATCAGAGCACAGTCTGCTTTTCAGAAGGAGGGGCTTCGTAGAGACAGGAAGTAAACAGAGCGTTACTGACAGACTGGGAAGAGAGGAGCCGCAACAATGGAGAATATGGGGAAATAATTAACATTCAAGCAGGAAAACCTGTTCTAGTAGAGCCTGAAACTACATCAAGACTCTGAGAAAGGGCAGAATAGGTCGTCTTTAAAGGGATACTTCAGGATTTAGCATTAAGCTTTGTATTAGTAGAAAACCTGTAGTATTTTCGAATTACCATACTTTCCACCCTCATATCCCCCTGAGACGAGAGATTTATGTATTTTTTGTCTGGAAAAAAATCCTCCGATGACGCAAAAATCGTCATTTTGCGTCATTGGAGGATTTTTTGGCCAGAGGCTAAAGACTACAGCCAGTAGTAGAGGCTGTCCCGCATGTTCTCAACCCGCCCATAGAGGGTGGGATCTCACTCACAGAATGTACACATAGTGTCAGACATCTTTTTTGGAAGCTAAGCTAGCAGGCTCTTGTTCTGTGGAGAAAGCTGAGTAGTAGGGGTTACCATCCTCTTTTTCCCGGACATGTCCGGCCGTCGATGTCCGGGATTCAGCTTTTGCTTTCTGCAGTCGCCATTCATTGTTTACATGCACACCTTTTGTTTCAATCTAACTGAATTCATTCCGATTGGTGAATCTGAATGTAGTGTTTACATGAACGCTAAACAAGTGATCGGTTGATGTGCGTTTTAACATTGCTAAGAAAATTCCCGCTCACAGGTGTGTCGCTACATTTTGGGCGATCTTGAAATCCCGGGCAGACTCATCACGGAGACTCTCTAGTAGCCTAGACTTGTTGTTTAACTACTGCGCTCTGTTACCGGTAGGCGTGGCCTCCTAGGGCAGCGAAGCAAGTGCATTCTGGGAGTTGTTGTCTTTCATCCACATAAGCCAAAAATACATTTTCTCGCTTTTCTCAGTCTAGAAAGCTCCAAATTCAAAAATAATTTCACATTTCTTCTACATAAATGACCCATTTTAAATACACATTCATCTTTCCAGAGGTGAAGTATCCCTTTAATATATTTAAGTTCCCCTGTAGTCAATCATTATATCCCTTAAAACTCATGTTTGATCACCAAAATGACATATTTAAATGTTTTTTCATTGAAAAAGAAAAATCTCCATGCCTTAAAATAGCTTGAATGTAACTCGACACCCTTGCCTCATTTAGTATTTGCGGTTCTATGAATATGCAGATGAGCCCCGCCTCCACTCACTCACTCAGCTCAGAGATCCACTGGTTGACGATCACACGTTGATCTGATTGGTTACAAGGTCGTTTGTGACGTCAGAAACACCAGCGATTTCAAACCGTGTTTTTGAGACTGTCTTTGGTTCACTGCAGTTTTAAGCACAAGACACATAAACAACATTAAAAAAACACAGGGGGATTTTAAGATATCAAACTCTAAATTAAAATTGTAATCATATTCGCCCACACACACACACAATAAGTTATATATTATTTTTCTTACTGAAGAACACAGTTTTTGAATCGTGATCTATTAATTTGATTAATTAATGACTACTTTTTTTGCCTTTACTCTTTTACCATAAAACCTTTGACATGCAGATCGTCCGGTGACGTACCTGTACAACACGCTGCATTATTACGAGAAACACCTGCGAGATCGCACCAACCTGAAGAGGAAGCTGGTCCACGCCATCATGAGCTCGCTCAAGGACAACCGCACCCCCGGCTGGTGTCTCAGCGAGACCTACCTGAAGTGTGGGATGAACCCCCGAGAGGACAACATCTGGATCCCTGACGACACCTACTACTGCAAACTCATCGGCCGGCTGGTGGATAATATCCTTTCCTGAGCGCATCACAGCCAGCGCCATCACAAGAATACATTTAAGAGATACAGGGATGGGGTTTTTTCCCGTTTTTCCAATCTGAGATGTATGACCCATGTGAATTGTGTCAATCTGAGAACAAATTAATTAGTTAGGGGGTTGTGACTGCATGAACGGCCAAAAGTGATTACGTAACAAACCACAAAATACTGTGTTTTCAAATCCATGCATTAATTTGATATGCAGCGATTGCTTCGAACTGCTGTGTTTGGGGAAGCTTTATCATCTCAGTCAGGGTCCAACATTTACACTCGTCAGCCACTGAATCAGAGTAAAAATCAGCGTTCACGAGTATCTGAAGCTGCGTAACTCACCAGTTGCCTGGTAACCTTATATATTTTAACAATGTATGGTAATGAGAACACGATTCGGACTAGTGTGAGTATCTCATTTAATATTAATATAAATATACATAATTAAATTACTCTAGATAGTAATTTATAAAAAGCAAGTCATGATATGGTGTTTTTGGTGTCTGCTTTACTTATAAAACATGTTTGGAACTAGCCATCTTCCCAAATTTGTCATGAGCATCGCTTATAAATCTGTTGCCAAAAAAAAGCAGCTTAATGCACAGCAAAATCCCCAGAGTTAAATTAACTCTGCTCAGAGAACATTTGGTCCCTCTCTACAGAGAGTTAAAATAACTCTGAATCAGAGTTAAAGTTAATGAGATACTTAAGTGATTAATTAAGTGATGATTGGGCATTAATGATGAACACCTGCTGTCAACAAGCAGAATCACTGAAGGAAAGAGAAACAACAAGAACAGAAAAAAAGATAAACACAAGAACTACAACTGACTTCTAGCCACAGCCTTAGATGAAATCAAATGTAGACAAAAGACATTAAATCTCTCTAGTTCTCAGCAGAGGAGGATTAAACAACTCCACAAACAGCATTACCAGCTTCACTTATTACTAACCAGACTGACTTTATTTCTGTCACGTCTACAGAAGGTCTTACTGAGAATTAACAGGAGTTTAGATGTTGACGATTTATTGAAAATGTTTGATCACCATTATGGCGATGAGTGTTTCCTTTAGTTGGTCAGATTTGACTCTTGGCTTTTATTCCGAGTTTGTGGTTTTTGTAACAGGTCTTACCAATACACGTAATTTATTACAAAGAAAGTCAAAAACAAAGATGATCAGGTGATATAGTTTTCAACAACAAAAAATAGAATAATGCACTTATCTCATCGCTGTCCAATAGTGGTTATATGATGTTAATACATTATATTCACTAACAATACTCTCTTGACACAGATCGGACATTATGATTTTTTTATTTTTAAAATATATTATGGGGATTTTTTTTTTCAAGACACAGACATCAAGATTCAGCATATGAATCTCAACAGTGGTAACATGCTTCATGCCGCAATGCATGCTGGGAGCCACAATAATATAAAACGTATGGCTCCCAGCATGCATTGCGGCATGAAGCATGTTACCATTGTTGAGATTCATATGCTGATTCTTGATGTCTGTGTCTTGGAAAAAAAAATCCCCATAATGTTTTTTAAAAGTCAAAAATCAGAATGTCCGATCTGTGGCAAGAGAGTATTGTTAGTGAATATAATGTATTAACATCATATAACCACTTGTGGACTGTGATGAGATAAGTGCATTATTCTATTTTTTGTTGTTGAAAACTATATCAACTGATCATCATTGTTTTTGGCTTTCTTTGTAACAAATTACGTGTTATGGTAAAACCTGTTACAAAAACCACAAACTCAGAATAAAAGCTAAGAGTCAAATCTGACCAACTAAAGGAAACACTCATCGCCATAATGGTGATCAAACATTTTCAATAAATCATCAACATCTAAACTTCTGTTAATTCTCAATAAGACCTTCTGTAGACTTAACAGAAATAAAGTCAGTCTGGTTAGTAATAAGTGAAGCTGGTAATGCTGTTTGTGGAGTTGTTTAATCCTCCTCTGCTGAGAACTAGAGAGATTTAATGTATTTTGTCTACATTTGATTTCATCTAAGGCTGTGGCTAGAAGTCAGTTGTAGTTCTTGTGTTTATCTTTTTTTCTGTTCTTGTTGTTTCTCTTTCCTTCAGTGATTCTGCTTGTTGACAGCAGGTGTTCATCATTAATGCCCAATCATCACTTAATTAATCACTTAAGTATCTCATTAACTTTAACTCTGATTCAGAGTTATTTTAACTCTCTGTAGAGAGGGACCAAATGTTCTCTGAGCAGAGTTAATTTAACTCTGGGGATTTTGCTGTGTGGTCTCTCTTTGGTTGTCCGCCAAAATAAATGTGACCCATGCAGGCAAAATGAGTCGCAATGAGCAAATATTAAAAAATGAGTTTATCTCTATCAAAATTGTGTTTGATTTGGACAAGAAAGACTGAGCTGCACCTGTTTGAAGTCGATATAGTCAGCAGTCAATTTGGAGAAAAACCTAGTTAAAGTCTTCTGAAACCATCCCTGATAATAACACCAAATCTGGCACTCGCCATGTCAAACCCAAATATCTATAGGAAAAATAGATTTTCAACTTTTTTCCCATGATACCACATTTGTTTTATTAAGTCAAGTCACCTTTATTTCTATAGCGCTTTTTACAATAAAGATTGTTTCAAAGCAGCTTTACAGAGATAACAATAAAATAATGTAATATTGTAATAATATTGTTAAATATAAAATGAAATGTCCAACTAAGCAAGCCAAAAGCTAATGGCGACAAAGGCGAAAAAGGCGACAACATTAATGAAACAAACAGCCTATATATTCAGACCTACTGTAACGCACGATCTAATATAATGTTACACATCAGATGATTTTCCCCAACAGTGAACTAAACGTTTATTTAATAACGTTAAGAATTTTTGCGTGAATACTCGCCAAGACAGATATTTTGAAATACTGTAATTCTGTGTATGTGTGTATATATCGGGATCGTCTTTGTGCACACGCATCGGATCTGTCAGTCAGCGCGAGTAAGACCGTTTTTCATGGAGCAAGGAAAGGTGGTACTCTCAGAAAACTTACAAATAAAGATACTTTTAGATGTTTAATCGCTATTTGGAGCATTGGGATCGCTAGACGAGGGCTTAATGAACTCAAAAACTTCAAAATCAAAAAATTCCACTTGTTTTGCCTGAAGTTCGAAATAATCCTGTGCGCATTCCCACTCATTTTGTCAGCACGGGTCACAGATGTTCTATGGTTTAACATTTGAAACTCTTAAATGTTGCCTTTAAGCTGATACACATGCTGCCTCTGACTAGCAACGGCTGTGATGCTAACTAACGGCTACTGGCGATTCGTATAAAAAGGTCTGAGATGTCCATCCCACACCAACTTCCCGTCTCAAGTAGAAATATGTCAACAGAGGAAAGAGTCCCATTCAAGCTCTTTAGAGTGTGTAGTGTGTGAGTTAGCCTAGCAGAAGAGTCAGGATGAAGTGTATATCGTCTCCTTAACCGAGGGCACCCATGGCAGGCAAGTCCCCGGGGCCGTTCCCCAACTGCGACTGGCGCTTCAACGAGTTCCCCAACCCGGCGGCGCACGCGCTGCACGTCACCTGTGTGGAGCTCATGGCTCTGGCTGTGCCCGGCAAAGACGTGGGCAACGCCCTGCTCAATGTGGTGCTCAAGAGGTCAGAGGTCATGACACATGAGACACATATTCGTTCATACAGTGCTGTGTGTTGAAGTTTGATGTGTGATAAATGTGTTTTGCAGCCAGCCGCTGGTTCCCCGTGAGAACGTCACGGCCTGGATGAACGCGATTGGACTGGTCATCACTGCTCTGCCTGTACGCACACGGTCTTTGTTCATGTTCCTCTCTCTGCCACTCTTTCACTCATACAGCAGCTAGTGAGCAGTAACTCCTGCTGAATGATGATGTAGACTCGCCATTGGGCCGCTTGGGTTAGGCGCAGCGTTTGGGACCATAATTGTTCGTGGCAGTGCTACTTAAGGATAATTTAGATACTATTACAGTGTTTTCCATGTATTGATTTATCTCTGGCGGCCCTCCACAAATAGATTTCAGTGTTTCCCATTCATTTACTAGACAGTGGCGGCCCGAAAATATATTTAAACTTCTCATAATAACATAGAAGGTCTTTAAAGGGATACTCCACCCAAAAATGAAAATTCTGTCATCATTTACTCACCCTCAAGTTGTTGCAAACCTGAGTTTCTTTCTTCTGATGAACACAAAGGAAGATATTTTGAAGAACGATTGGAACCAAACAGTTGTTTGGCACCATTGACTTCCATAGTCGAAAAAAAAAAAAATACTATGGAAGTTCCAATCCTTCTTCAAAATATCTTCCTTTGTGTTCAGCAGAAGAAAGAAACTCATACAGGTTTGCAACAACTTGAGGGTGAGTAAATGATGACATCATTTTCATTTTTGGGTGGAGTATCCCTTTAATGTCGTGTTTTGCGCCATTGCTGTCAAACAAACTAAAATCGAAAGCGCGATTAGGCTTTGTGTCTCCCAAATCGCAAGACTCTGTTTGCGCTGGTCAAAGAGAAGTGTGCGCTTTGCTCACGCGTTCACAGTTCAAAGTGGATGAATGCAGTGAACTCCATCTGTGCATGTGCTGAGTTTAGCATTTGAGAACGCAGTTACGCATTATTTCCACATCTGCATAGTTGACAATTACAGCAATTCACTAGATTTGTAATGAGACGCGTTTGTAAACATGTTTTCCACCAAAATAAAAGCTCAACTGCAATTTCCGTCAAAATAAAAGCTCACGTGTCATGCGTATGGGTTGGAGCTCTTCATTTTGAACTCTCGAAGTGCACCACCAGATTGATGAAGTGGATTTTTGTTAGCTTTTTTGTTGTATTTTTGTCATTTTTATTCGTTTTTGTAAATGTGTCTTTAGTTTTTATTAATTATTATTTTAGTTAGTTATTTTAATACATCAAGTTAAACTAAATGAAACTTACCCTTGGCAACTAGCTGAAATAAAGTAAGTTTAATTTTTTAAGTATTCTAATTTATTTCAGTTAACATTTATTCTATTTAAAAAATGATGGGATTTGAAGCCATAATTGTCTTCTTTTCGACTCCAAATTATAACATTTGATTTCAGTTTCTGTTCCAAGGACTTTTAGTGTGTATTTCCTTTGTTTGGTTCCTGTTTCCTTTGTTCTATTCACCAGTTCGGAATAGCAAACTGTTCTGAGTAGGTACTACATTTGGATTTACTTCTGATCCATTAAAAAAGTACTCTCTATGTAATATTAATAATATGTGTAGTATGAATGAAATTCGGACAACTGCCGCACACACATAAACGAGACATAACATAAATAGTCCAGGCCTGGTCCTCTCTCATCCTTCACTGTCGACGCTTCTACTTTTATGCTTCCAAAGCTCGAGACCGCGTGAAGCTCATTATCTCTCATGACACTGGCCTCGCTTGCCACACTGTTTCTTGAGTTTCTCGTTATCCTGTGTATTTACTGCCCTTGGTTTGGTTTTCTTGGTTATTTTATTAAATAAATGAAACTTAGATGCTACATTTGAGCCCACATCTCCTCTTCCTTACCTTGCCTTGCCGTGAAGCATATTTCTAAGACTCAATATCTCTGGTTAAGTTAATGTAATGTTCTGTTTCTTTCTCAGGAGCCGTACTGGATCGTCCTCCACGACCGCATCGTGAGTGTGATCAGCAGTCCGGTTCTGAGTTCGGAGTCGGAGTGGGTCGGGTACCCCTTCCAGCTGCTGGACTTCACCGCGTGCCACCAGTCGTACTCAGAGATGCACTGCAGTTACATTCTGGCGCTCGCACACGCCGTCTGGCATCACTCCAGCATCGGCCAGCTCTCCCTCATCCCCAAGTAAGACATCAGAGCCGTCTCAGAGTAACCAGCACCAACACCTCCTGCCCAGGGGCCAACACATTTCACCACACCTGCCTATATGGTGCAGAGAGACATTTACCACTGTATTTTGCAGATTTAAAAAAAAAAAAAAAAAAAAAAACGGATGCACAGACACTCAAATTCTGACCAATACTCAGTTTAATCAAACTTAAGGTCATAGAACATCTCAACTGTCCTTAATGGTATAAAAAAGTCGAAATTAACATTTTAATAGGTCTTAAATTTGGAGATGGAAAAACAGTAATTTTGGTACAATCTAATGTGATTATTAAACTTCTGAAGTCTATGGTTTTATTAAATATGAGCTCTGCAAGTTCAAAGTCAAAATGCGGCGCTGTTGCTGGTTCGACTCGGTTTCAGTGCAGTTCACAATCATTGAATACTGCGCATTTATGCCCATAGATTGCTTATGATTTACTGTTATACTACGGGGCTGTGGATTGCTTGCATCTGATTGGTTGTGGATTGCTTGCATCTGATTGGCTGACGAACGTTCTTATGTGTGCAGTTATTTTCAGGGAAACGCACGAGTAAAGTAGTTCCAGCAGGTCTCGACCGCATTACAGCTCCATATCACTTCGCCAAATGATTTCAGTTATTTCAAAGGTCTTTACAGCCGACAACAGCAAAAGAACCAAAAACCACAACGACACTGACTCAGCAAATAAATATAAATATAGCAATAGGATAAAAATTACAGACTATATCCATGTTTTCTCCTGCTCTGTCTCTCATAGAAACACACACACATACAGTACAACGGAGCAACGGGGGCTTGGGGTCAGATGTGTAAGAAATTAGTTCTGCACACAAAACACCAGCTTTTTAAGGACAAATGAAATAAAACATTGAGCAATGTCTAGAGGCGTGGTAATTGGGGAACAATAAGAGTAGTAATTCACTCCAGTCCGTTGCATTGTTAGAAATAGTGCACAGTCGAGGTGCATATTTTTATTTTTATTTAAACAGTTTAATTTAGCAGGGACAATGCACATTAATAAGCATAAATGCAAATGCGCCAGAATTAGCCAAGAGACTATTTTTCATCTATAGTCCTTGGACAGTTGTTACATAGTCAACCTATAAAACTTAAAAAACAATTATAAAATTAATTTAACAATCTTTTAAAATGAAGTCATGCATTATGAATACAATGAGCTAGAAGGAACACAAACATTATACTGAAATGATTTTCATGGACGTCTCATGGGCTTTTCATATTTGATGGACCTCATCTGTGTGAATTAGCAGCCAGCAGCAGTAAAGCAAAGACATTTCAAAATAAGAGTCCCAGTAAACTGTATCTAGCATTGTATACCCTTTCAGTTCCACTCGCACAAACTGAATTTGGAAAACAAGCTTTTCTGTATGCGGCACGCAGTGATTGGAACGTTTTACACAATTACCTGAAACTGCAGACAATGAACATTTTAGAATCTTTGCTTAGTGAGCTGTTAACGGAAGAAACAATTTGTAAATGTTTTTAATTGTTTTGATGATATATTTAAATGTTATGGTGATTTATTTATTTAAAAAACAAATTATAATGTTGTGCTGCTCATCTTAGCCTGGTTACTTCTGTAAAAGAGATTTTAAAAGTTTTATCCGGTTAAATAAAAGGCAAATAAAAATGTAATCACACCTTGACACGGGAAGGAAAAACTAAGAAATACAGAGTTCTGTCATGAAACACTAGATGACGCAGCCTGATTGGTCCTTAACTCAATCCGCTTGCAATCACGTCATTCTCTATAGGACGCAGCTGATTGGTTCCTCTGTATCAGTAGCCAATGAACTCGCTGCTCAACCTAATCCTGATCAGAAGCCCTCCCCCTTCCCCAGCTCCACCTGTATAGACCTGCTACGGGTGATTCATGTACACTATTGTGCAGCAGCAGCATGTGTTACATGCTCACAGGAGTGTGTCGTGTGTGTATTGGTAGTAGAATAGCAGATCTATTCCACCAAGGCCAAACATATCAGTATTGTCATACACATTACCATCCCAAATACTCAGAGTTGTCATGACAGAACATTATTTAACATATTTAATAAATAGATTTTACCATTATATACAATAATCTATAATCTGTCTTTCTTTAAATGCTTTATTTTATAATCAGAAAATTCAAATATGTCTTATTCATATGTATTGATATTTTGGTACATAAACCATTTACAATACATATTGAATAAAATTGCAGTCAAACCCTTAAGTCCTTGTTGAATGTGTTCTGCAATACACGATTTATTTTGAGATTGAATGGGCTTGTTCTGAATAGACATACAGAATTCATTTTTATTTGTGCCTTAAAAAATGTCTTAAGTTAAATTTGACTGCGGATAATGATAAATCCTTGAGTGTTGTAGTTGAGTGAGTGAGTGAGTGAGTCAGTTGTTTGTTGAGTAGTTCTGAAATGCAGTACTAGTGTGTGTGTGTGTGTGTGTGTGTGTGTGTGTGTGTGGGGATGAGTGCAGTGCTTCAGTTCTCCTGCCTCCACACGCTCCTCATCCCACAGCATCACACACACACACACACACACACACACACACACAGAGAGAGACGCATCGGTCGTGAAGAAGAAGACCCATTTTACTTCAGTGATCTGCTGTCGTTTCAAATGATAATCCATTTTGTACCAGGATGAAGCTGGACAGGATGACTTGAAAAAATGGATTTCATAACATGGTGAAACGTTCTTTCAGAGACAGAGGTTTTGATGAAAGATTATGAAGACAATTTTTTTTTTATCTTTGCATAACGTACTGATGAATCGAAGGCATTAGTAGCAGTGCATTATACTGTAAAATAAGGTCAATTTAGATGTTCTGTCTACTTTAAAGGTAGTTCATGTAGTGTACACTATTAGTTGGGCTGAGATTTTTTAATGTTTTTGACAGAAGTCTCTTCTGCTCACCCTGGCTGAAATTATTTGATCAAAAATACACTAAAAACAGTGAAATATTAAACAGTTTTCTATGTGAATATACAGTAAAGTGTAATTTATTCCTGTGATCAAAGCTGAATTTCCAGCATCATTACTCCAGTCTTCAGTGTCACATGATCCTTCAGAAATCACTCTAATATGAGGATCTGATGCTCAAGAAACATTTATGATTATTATTATCAGTGTTGAACACAGTTATTCTGCTTCATTGTTGTGGAAACCGTGATGCATTATATTTTTCAGGATTCTTTGATGAATAGAAAGTTCAAAAGAACAGCATTTATTTGAAACATTTTTGATGTCACTTTTGATAAATTTAATGCGTCCTTGCTGAATAAAAGTATTAATTTCTCTATAGAAAGAAACAGTCGTACTGACCCCAAGCTTCTGAACGGTAGTGTGTGTTTTCTGTAGTCTGTGTGTGTGTCAGTCCTCGTGCTGCGGTCACATGCTCTGTTTGTTTTGAAGTGTAAAAGCGTCTGTTTAACTGTGTGTGCTGACAGTGTGTGACGTCTGGGATCGGGTCCATGAACACACAGATAACTCAGTGACAGGTGGCTCAGACAGAGCAGTGATAGGACGCGCTTAACAGCGTCTCACACACTCGTCTGCAGCGACGGGGGAACGTTAGCACACACTCCCCTCCGCCTGTACAGAGAAACTATTTATCAGTGCACATCATTATTGTGTTTAATTCATGCGTCTCATAATAATCTTGCATCAGAATAAGTTCCTCTTGCAGCATCTCTTCTCTTCTCTGATGACGAGGGCGGGGCTATAACCTGTCAATCACACCAGATCCACCAATAGCAAACCACAACCATCCAATCAATTCCCCACAGACACAATCAAGCCCCGCCCACATTAGTTCTTGTTCCTGAAGCGTTTCACTCAGATATACAGGACACAACAGAAGAGAAAAGACTAACTTCCGCTTCCTACAGCGGTGTCAGTGTTTTACTACTGCTCTGAACACAGCTCATCCCAATCCAGGCACAATTAGTCTGATTAATGAAGATGTGTTCTCAGCGGATGACATCATCGTGACTCGGAGACTCATATCGATCTGTCTGGAGGTCATGAAATCAGAACATTAAACCCATTTTCATGACATTTTCAACTCTTCTACTTGAAACACAATGACCTTCTGTTATTGATCATGTCAAGACTGGATTTTACAGCAGAAGGATGAGCTTCATGAATCTGTTCAAGTGTCTCCTTCATGGTCAAACACTTTCTCTCAGGGCAATCTTCAACACCGACTCAACCAACAGAGGGCGTTTAGGGCGGGTGGACTGACCAATGGCAGACTAGAGATTGTTCTGGAAACATATTTTTTTTAACCATTATTTTTGCATAGTATTTTTGCAAATCCATTTGGTGACACTAGTGGGACAGAAAATACATTTTTTAATGGTAATTTTGAAGACCTGGACAAATAAAATGTATAATATTATTCATATACAGAACCAACCCATACAATCTCACAATAAATGCATCTCAAAAACTTTAATATAAGTAAACCGGCTGCGGCACACATGCGACGAGGACTTAATACTGCTTATCTGCAAAACACGTAACTGCAAGTTTAAAATTCCTACAAACTAGATGCTGAGCGGTATTAGATTTTGCTGACACAATAACAATGACAGATTATGCTGATTGTAGTAAAAAAAAAAAAAATGTATATATATATATTAAAAGTGTTAAATAACACTCTTAGTCTTTTCTTCCTTTGACGAGGCTGGCCGGAGAGAAGACACAAGAGTTGAGTTAAATACCATATACAGTTTGTGTAAACAAAATTGCAATAATAAGCAGACAAAGAATGCATCATGCAAGACTTTTAATTGCAAACAAACCTGAAATATACTGGGACTCTTATTTTGAAATGTGTTTGCTTTACTACTTCCAGCTGCTCATTAAAACACAAATATGCACCCTTCCATCCATCTACAACATATTACGATATAAACACTTTATAATTGTTATAATTCATCAACAATAAACCAAAGCAATAATTTGGCATAATATATTTTTTTATATAAAAAGACTCTTGAGGTGTTATATAGTGAATATAGTACATGAAAGGGAAGTTGCGCTCGTTTTTTCTTCACTATTGGGACGAATATCCGAGTGAAACGGCTTCTGGAACAACTGTATTCTGTAAAATACTGGCAGCAGAGACACCAGCAACATACTGTAATTCTACCGTATTAATACTGTGAAATGACTTTGTTGCCATTTGCTGTGAAAAGTACATGCAGTCCAATTCTGTGATTATTTCAATTTACAATACACTCATAAAAAAAGGTGGGTTGAAAACAATTTGGGTCATTTTGGCAACACCGCTCAAATTAGATTTGAAATTAAAAGCACACAGGAAATTACTACAGTAAAAACACAACAGCAATAGGCTAATAAAAAGGTGAACATTTATTTATGAGCAAGAACACCCAAAATGGACAAAAATACAGGCAAGAGTAGAAGCAACATGCACGTTTCACATGTAAGAAAAAGTGCAGAAAAGAAGACAAACTCCAACTCTGGAGTCTTTGTATTGTCGCTCAATCATATACAGTACAGTACACTACGAAACGAGACAAAACCTGTGCAAAAGTACGGGACAGTACTATACAATAAATGACTAAAGAAACAGGACAGTAGGCACAGTAAAAGACACAGGTAAACCATATTGCGTTTTCTCCTGCTTATGAGCACTAGACGGCCGACACCATCAGGCTGAGTGCCACCAAGAAACACACAGCCTGAAAGCCTTAATAAACACTGAACTTTGGGAATAAATGATGTATTATAGTGAATCGACAGGATTTTACCCTTTCCGTTTAATGCGTTTATAATCACTCACTTATAAGCCATTCCTGCTTGTTCAGTTCCAGCTCACGAGTCACCGTTCCAGTGATTTAGACCTCCAGTTTTAAAAGAAGCTTTCACAGTTTTCTCTTAAGGGATTAGAAGTTTCCTTCCACAATTATTCCTGTCATAAGTGCCACATGTTGATTTCAGGTGCCATGTTTCAGTTCTTCCCGCTCGCCACAGTCACCCGTCCAGCTGTAGAAGAACACTCTTCGCTGCTTTGATGATTTTCCACACCCTGAGGTCATGAGCACCTCAAACTCCTTTGAAACACACGTTCAGCGCCTTTGATGCTATTGGCACCAGCCCACAATGCATTGCGTACTACAGTACAAAACCGTAATACATGAATACAGTAGATCAGTGTTGAAAATGGGCTGTACATTAACAGCAGTTGCTTACCGTGCAGAATATTACCCAGCATGCATTGTGTTCTACAGTACATTACTGTTTTAATGGAAAACAGTATGTTACTGTCAAAATGTGGCCTTTTTTACAGTGAAGAACAAATGTGGGCGGGGCTTGATTGTGTCTGTGGGGAATAGACCCCTTTCACGCCGACGTCACAGTTACATCACGGCGCTAGCTGGAGGCAAAACAAACGGACAACTGGAGGCGGCTACATAATAAGGAGCTTAAATTATTATTATTAAATGTCATCTTGTTGTGTTGTTGGGTGCAAGAATCAATGAAAAATTAATATGCTGTATTTTTATTTCTAGAAAATATTCACATCATTAAAATTGCACCGTAATGTCACTCTTTACATTGTCGTCTTCTCGGCGCTGGCTAGGCAGAACTGCGGATCGTACACACAAGTCTTGTACATGATCATTCAGCACATAGTTATAGGCATCTAAAGATTTACATGCCCTCCGTTTCTCTTTACGCTCGGTAGGTGTAGAAGTCAGGACACTCAACCAAGGTAACGTTAATCCTGTCAGATCGTCCATCCATTGACAGTGTGTACAGTAGGCCGACGGGTCAGGCAATCTGGTTCCAAATAACAATCGCGGTCCTGGACACTGAGTGACCTTGCACATTAAGATAAAATCAGATTTTCTCCAGTCATTGTTAATAAACAAGCTAACAAAACTTGCAATCTAACGTTAGGGAAGCGGCCAGAGGGATCCTTCTGCCTCCACCTAAGCTCCGCCCACAAAAAACGTCACCATGTTTACTAACTGAAAAGGGGTCTATTGATTGGATGGTTTTGGTTTGCTATTGGTGGATCTGGTGTGATTGACGGGTTATAGCCCCGCCCTCGTCATCAGAGAAGAGAAGAGATGCTGCAAGAGGAACTTATTCTGATTCAAGATTTTTAGGAACATGGATTTAACACAATAATGATGTGCACCGATAAATCATTTAGTAAAAACACTGCAAAATTACATAAAAAACTGGATTTGCCAATTTCATGGTGACTTTAATTCTGTGTTACAGTTTCTACATTTCTTGGTTACCATTAATACAGTCTCATGTAGTGACAATACAGTTTGTCAAGCCAACGTGTAATTATTGATTGATGGTTGGTGTCTGTTACTGCTGGACACTGTGTGTTGCAGTGATTTTATGACGTGTGTGTGTGTGTGTGTGTCAGGTTCCTGTCGGAGGTGCTGAAACCCATCGTGAAGACTGAGTTCCAGCTCTTGTACGTGTATCACCTGGTGGGGCCGTTTCTGCAGCGCTTCCAGCAGGAGAGGACCAGATGCATGCTCGAGGTACACACACACACACACACCTGCACTCTTCAAAGCAGAGCCTCATGGGAGAGAGAAGAGACTTGATTAGGCCACAGGCCGGCACACACACACACTTAGAGAGCGCTTGAGGGGAGTGATTCCTGTGGGGCTGTGTGAAGCAGTCCATCTAATGAAAGTGCTCCACACACACAGACCACAGCACATTACCCAGAAACCCTTCAGCTCCTCACACCCGCCGGCCGCCACTGACCTAGAGCTGCGGTTCATAACCAGTGCAGAACGTGCTGGGACCTGGACTAGTTTAGACCAGTTTAACCAAGCTTTACATGTTCTTCATATTCTGTGCAGTTATTGGTTCACAGCAGTGATAGACATGTTCTTTCCCATTAGATCAGGGGTGCCCAATCCTGCTCCTGGCGATCGACTGTCCTGTACAGTTCATCTCCAACCCTAATCAAACACACCTGCCTTTAATTTTCAAGTGATCCTGACGTGCTCTGAAGACCTTAATTGGTTGCTTCAGGTGTGTTTGATTAGGGTTGGAGATGAACTGTGCAGGACAGTCGATAGCCAGGAGCAGGATTGGGCACCCCTGCATTAGATTAAGGGGTGATATTTGCGGTAACACTTTATTTTACAGTGTCCTTGTTACATGTACATTGTAATAACAGTAAAATATGCATAATTACATGCAACTAACCCTCAACCAAACCCTATGCCTAACCCTAACCCTATAGTGAGTACATGTAGTTGCTTATTATTACTCAGTACTTAAATATATAATTACACTGTAACGATGACACCTTAAAATTAAGTGTAACCATATTTGCCCTCTTCATTTCCAGGGTTATTTTTACCTGTAAAACTGCTATTTTTTTCTAACCTTATTAGATGCATGGTGAGGATCTTACATTTTAATCAACAAATTCAATTACAATATTAAAACACTGTTATTAATCAAATGAAGTTCGTATCAACAAAATCCATCTTTGCACTGCAGAGGAGGTACTCATTGAGACTGTTAATGCAGCTCAGACGTGGCATAAAAGCACTTTACAAATGCACATTTTATGAGATCGCTTGAAAGAATAAACATTTAAATATAATAATATGAAATGATGGACAAAATAAAATTGTTTAAAAAAAACAGTGACAAGTCACTGTCTTATGACACTGAGTCATTGAATCATTCACTTAACCAAATCGTTCAGATATTATAGAGGCATTCAATAACCAGTGTGTTGCTCAGAGACGAGCAGCGGCTCTGCTGTGGCGTTGTTTGGATACGCTTTATTTCCTGAAATGGAGCAAAAACACACAATATTAAGAGATTAATTAAGAGACTTTGTTAATAATCATGAGGCAAGCCTTCATAGCAGGACTGTCATTTCTCCACGTACAGCATCTGCATTGGAGCAGATCAGATCGGGCCAACATCAAGTTATGCCAACATAACACCAACATCCACTAATGGTTCATAATATTGTTAATCAGGGATGTGATTCTTCCGGATTAATCCGGAATTCCGGTTATTTCAGCCTAAAATCATGACCCACGTGAATCATTCAGATCAGTAATAAAAATCAAATCGGGGGTGTTTGGAAGTTTTGGGAAAGTCATTGTAATTTGTTTCAAAATATTTATATAATAGAATATGTTTAAGTGATCATATTAGTTAAACAAACTACAATACTTAACGTTCATTCGATCCATCCGACACGGCATTTCCATCAGATTTCGTTTAGCAGCGTTGAGCATTTTAACCAATCGCACACGTTTCCGTTGAGTTTATGAGCGTGACGACCAATCAGAGGCGCTCAGATTAGTCATCGCTGAAACGAATAGTTTTGTTCAGTGCGCTGACTGGATTCTTCTGACTTCCATCATAAACAACAAAGTGCAGATTCGATGTAAGAGATTCATGTCGCACATTTCTGTGATTTTTAACGGGAGTTTTGTGCGTGCTTAAACTCGCGCTAGATCGCCTCACGATCGTTCCTGGCACTGCGTATCTAGGCCTATAGCACGAGTGCTTTTATTAGCCTTCTTCTTTATACGCAAAAGTAATACGTGCATCTGGTTGGCAAAAAAGTGCGTATCATGTAGCCTACGGCGCTAAATTGCTTATTGGATGCACGTAAAAGTTCATTTCGGTCACATTCTCTGCTCCCTTTCTGTGTACAGTTTATTCCAGTTAATATCATTTATTCATCATGCTGATAAGATTGTGTAGTCTTCATTTTCTAATGCGTAAAAAGCATTAATATAATTCATAAATGGTTCTTAGGTTGTTTTATCTGTGTAGCCAGAATATGATGTGCAGTTTACCAAAACACAGAAAACATTTTATGTTGCCTATTCTATTGTAGAAGTTTGAGTGGAAGTTTATTTACTGAATGAGATTGATCTGTATTGGAAACACAGTTGTTTTCTTTACAGAACTACAGAACAGTTATCGCCCTTATATTTCCCCAAAGATAAAGACGTCCTGTTTTGTATTACTAGGAATAAATGATAGCTGTTAAATATATTTCCATGTGTGTCACTCATCACAGTTCCTGGTAGTTCATGCAGTAAATGGCTGATTCAAGTGTTTAAAAAGTAAAAAGTGCTTTACGCTGGGTCTTAAAAAAATTTCCTGCTTTTTTTCACTCGCACAATCACATCCCTGATTAATAATAAAGAAGCTATAGAAATGAATTAAGTATTGAAAGGTTGGTGAATGGTGACCTGTATTGTGATGTATATGCTGATGAGTTTGTGTTTCTTCCTCTCTCAGATTGGAGTGGCGTTTTATGAGATGCTCCAGGCTGTGGACCAGCACATTAAACACTTGTCCTATATGGACCCCATCTGTGACTTCCTGTACCACATCAAATACATGTTCACCGGGGACAGCGTTAAAGACCAGGTAACACACACACACACACACACACAGTAACATTCTTCTTCGCCTCAAGGCCATAAACACTTCTTGAACATCGGACATAAATGTTTGATTTTTTGGGAGGTTGGCGGGTGAGATGCTGTCACTAATTTAAAGGGTTAACCATGGGCTAACTGTTATGAGCTAGCAGTTTCCTATGAGTTTGTATGATTATTAGGAAACAAGGAAGCATGAAGGGCGTAAGCAGTGTGGTGGAAATCCACCCAGAAAATGATAGTCAGGTGTAAAGAAAATAAGATGTATTTGTCTGAAGTGGCGATCAGGGTAGTTTCTCTTAGATATCTCAGAGAGCCACAAAATAAGCTCTGAGCAAAACCGTATTTATCCAGTAAAATCATACATATTCATTTATCATTGAACAAAGACTTTGAAAGTTGATTGGAAAAGCAAATGAACATGATCATAAGGCCTTCCACCTCCTTGTATCATATTCATCCCAGTTCATCTTCATCCACATTGGTCTTCCTCAACATCCCATAATAGGCCCCACCTGTCGAGCGCAAACCGGTTTTATAGTTCTGTAAAATAGACTATTCTCAGGCCCACTGGCCTTGACTCCAGTAAGAAGTGTTATTCACAAGTTGTGTCTTGCAGCGTTTGCAGATTAAAACTGGAAACATGAGACGAGAGAGAAAAAAGGAAACCAAATGGGTGATATTTCTGAGTCTAAGTTCTACCAGGAGTGTGATGAAAGTTGTGAGCGCCTCAGATAACACACAACATTTCCAGACTTACCAGTCAGAATCTGAACCTTCAGTTCGTCCACTTACGTTCAACAGTTCACTTTCTCCAGAAGCAGTTTCTCCTCCTCAAAAGCATCATATTGAGTTAACAATAAAGATAGTGTCTGTTTTTCAATACATATAATTCAAAAATATTGATTTACACACACACACACACACATATATATGTATATATGTCAAAAACAAAATGTATGAGTAAAATTTATGTAAGGAAATTTCTGTAACTCATTTAAGATTAACAATAATAATCATGTATATATAAGCAGTGCTATTGAACACACGTAGGAAAATAATGTCTCTCTTAGAGCAGATCGTACAAATTCAAATGGATTAGCCAACAATTCAACAAAATGTAAATAGTCAGCATGCGATAGTGTCCCTGTGTGTGTGTGTGTGTGTCACATGGGCTGCTGTTATTCAGATGAGTGTGTTTGGCAGGAGGTCGAGTCTCTTTCTGAAGCCGCTGTTTGTCAGCGTCTCCCTCAGGGAAAGCAGGGAAGGTCAGGTGTATCAGCGCAGTATCAGCAGTCACTGGAAATAAAGATCATCCTTCAGTGTGCCTTTGCCTTATCATCTGAACTTCAGCTTTCTCTCTCTCACATCATCATCAGAGAGGTCTTTAAAAAGAAGAAGGTCTGTCTACAAAACAGCACAAGTATGCGAATTGAGACCTTAAACAGCACCTTTTCTCCATTTTCATCTGTCTTTAGTGTGTAATGTTGCCGTTTGGCATTGAGAGATCTTCTCTATATCAGTGTCAGTGTTTCTGAACTCCTGAAACGCCTCCATTGTAGTCTTGAGTTTCTTCCGGGAACAAACACGTCACAATATTCCTCATTATAATAATTCATACGCAGAATAAAGGGGCGGGGCCTGGTTGAGTTAGTTAGTAGTGTGTTAAACTGGTGGTTATGGTAAGAGGCGGGACATTTACCAAACACACTCGAAGCGCTCGACCAATCACAACACACTGCTCCAGCCGACCAATCAGAGCACAGTGTGCTTTTCAGAAGGAGGGGCTTCATAGAGACAGGAAGTAAACAGAGCGTTACTGACAGAGAGGAGCCGCAACAATGAGGAGAATAATCAACATTCAAGCAGGAAAACCTGTTCTAGTAGAGCCTGAAACTACATCGAGACTCTGAGAAAGTGTATAACAGGTCCTCTTTAAATCTGTGCAGGTGGAGAGGATCATCTGCTCTCTGAGGCCGGCGATGCGCCTGCGCCTGCGCTTCATCACACACATCAGTAAGATGGAGCCGGTGCCGACAGCGAGCAGCGTCTCTCAGACCCCGAGCGTCTCGTCCCCCGCGGCCCCGAGCGGAGCCGGACCCTCCAGTGCTCCTCTGTCTGTGTCCCAGTGACCAGCGCTCAGCGGCCCATCTCAACACTGTGTGACTGAAGATCATGTGACCTTAAGGCTTTTAACTCCTCAGACTTACATCACCTGCCTTATTTTCATCTAGGAGGAGCTGTCTTTTTCCCGAAGCCTTTCGCCTGAATTTTGATAGATCAGCATCTGGTTTTTTGCTTTGTCACGTCATTTTTCGTTTTCATTTTCATTTTTGTAATAAAGTCAAATCATGTGTTAAATGAATGTGAGCCTGTGATTTTGTCCTTTTGTGTGTATATTAGAATCACAGTCACAGACTCACAGAAACTACCGCACTAATCATAGATGATCAAATATATTACTGTCTAAAGGCTTGGGCTTTTTTAATGCTTTCAGCAAGGACGCAGTAAATTCACTTCTTTTGAACTTTCTATTCATCAAAGAATCCTGAAGAAAAAAAATCTGAAGCAGAATAACTGTTCAGAAAATAATCAGAAATGTTTCTTGAGCATCAGATCCTCATATTAGAGTGATTTCTGAAGGATCATGTGACACTGAAGACTGGAGTAATGATGCTGAACATTCAGCTTTGATCACAGGAATAAATTACATTTTACTATATATTCACATAGAAAACATAGTGACATAATATTTTACGGTATTTTTGATAAAATAAATGCAGCCTTGAGAGCAGAAGAGACTTTCAGAAACATCTTACCGACCCCAAACTGAACATGTTAAAAGACTTAAAAAAGTCTGAACATATACTGTGTTTGAGTGACAAACACACAGACGTGATCGTGACCAGCAGACGAGCTTCAGATGGAGATCTGAGACCGATTCTGTGCTTTTAAATTCACATTCATATTCACAAGATGCTGCTTATGTGAGACGTGTGTCCCGTGGGAAAAGCCCATTTGTCTTTTCTGTGAATAATCACAGAGGTAAAAAAAAATCATTCATTTCTTCCAGGAAAACCAGACGCTCCTCTTCGGCTCTATGAACGGCTGTCTCTCTCTCTCTCTCTGTCTGTCTCTCTCTCTCGTTCTGTCAAAAAGAGGCTGTTATTATTATGAATCTAATGTCATTTTTAGCATCATTGTCACGGCTCCTTTTCTCAGAACTGTATATATTTGATGTAATAAAACATGCAGATGCACAGTTTGAAGGCCAGTAGTTGATTTCCAGTGGTCTGGAGTAATCGGAGCGTGACTGAAGTTAATGCTCGTGTGTGTCCTGACTCTGTTAAACCACTGAAGGTAATGCTCGTGTGTGTCCTGACTCTCTGTTAAACCACTGAAGGTAATGCTCGTGTGTGTCCTGACTCTCTGTTAATGCACTGCAGCGCCGAGAGCAATTACAGCTCACAACTCACATCAGCCTTAATGGAGAGCGCAACCTGTACTTACTCAACGGGAAGTGTTAAAAGGATCAGATGTTAAGATCACGTCTTTATAGCCTCATGTTTATGGAGCGCTGAACATGCTGGCTAATTCATGTGCATGAGGTGTTGAGCGCTTACAGTCATGAGTAACACCTCAATACACTATTTACTGTGACAAAACTGCTCTCCGTGAAGCCAATAGTGCAGAATCTCACATTTATTATTGGCAGTTTCAACACATACATGTTTGAGCAACTAAGAACAGCATTTTTAGTGTTTCATCCCTCTGTCTAATGTGAGCATAAGGATTGGGACAGTTTAACTTAACCCTCCTATTGCACTTGTGCACACAGGGTGTGTGTGAAGCGTCTAGTGTAGTAGTGCTGGTAGTTAGTGCACGCTGCATGCCGCGCTGCGCTCTCTGCTTGTTACTCTCTGCCTACGGCTGTTGCCGCTGGCTAGCCTTCTTGATTGAGGTTGAAAAGAGGAGCGGAGTGCATAAGCCTCCTCCTGCCAGTACAGACTCCTGTAGTGTCTCCTCAGGGCCACACACGGAAACTGGGTATCATACGGCCCCAGGCTAAACTACAGGGGATCTCGGAGCAGCAGTGGGCCCCAGAGACTCCTGCGTGTGGACACGCCCTGGCGCCCGTCAACCACTGTCCCAGCTATGGGCAAATGGCCCCACTGCCTTGTGGTAAGTCTGTTGAGACAAGGCTAAGGGAGCATACCCTGACAGAAAAGCAATGCGCTGGAGGTGGTCGATAGGCGGGCCTTAACAGACGAAGGACCCTGCAGCCAAGATGGGGGACCGGTAGTTCTGGGACCACCCTTGCCATCGGGATTTACCTCATCATGGTGAAGATAGTGCTACTGGGGTTGGTGCCCGCCCTTTGGCACTTTAAAACCTTCCTTGCGCAGGTCTCCACCTCTGACCACAGTGACAATACATGGACCTTACATATGGTTAAAGTCTGGCGGTGATGGGGCATCTGGCAACGGGAGCAGGTACGAATAGACTGGGAGCTCCTAGTCAGGATCCTGCACGGCAGTGGCTAAGGGTATTTAGTCGCTATCTACTGGCACTGAGTGGCAGCTGTTTCGGCAGACCCCTGTGCGACTCCTATTTAGGGACCGAACCGCACTGCTCACCCCAGTTGGGGAAGGGCCTAGAAAAGGTGGCCTAAAAATTGCCCATTCAACCATTTACCTGGATAGGTTACCGCGCCTATATTCCACTACTGCGGTCGAAATAAGGAAAATAAGAAACAATACAATATAAAAAGATATATGAAAATGAAATGAAAGATACCAATCTTTCATTTGAAAATCATGTGTCTAGTATCTGTAAAACTGCATTTTTCCATCTTAAAAATATATCTAAATTACGCCATATGCTCTCATTGACAAATGCGGAACAATTAGTTCATGACATCAAGGCTAGATTATTGTAATGCTCTACTGGGTGGTTGCCCTGCACGCTTAATAAACAAACTACAGCTGGTTCAAAACGCAGCAGCTCGAGTTCTTACCAGAACCAGGAAATATGACCATATTAGCCCGGTTCTGTCAACACTGCATTGGCTGCTTATTATACATCGTATAAATTTTAAAATATTGTTGATTACTTACAAAGCACTAAATGGTTTAGCTCCCCAGTACTTGAGCGAGCTCTTAACGCATTATAGTCCATCACGTCTATTGCGTTCTCGAAATTCCGGCCAGTTGATAATACCTAGAATATCAAAATCGACTGTAGGCGGTAGATCCTTTTCCTATTTAGCACCAAAACTCTGGAACAATCTTCCTAACATTTTCTGGGAAGCAGACACACTCTGTCAGTTCAAATCTAGACTAAAAACACATCTCTTTGGCCTAGCATACACATAACACACTATAGACTTCCTTAATTCAAAATAAGGCTGCATAGTTTAGATCAGCCGGAACCGGGAACACGTCCCGTAAATCCTGATGTACTTGGTACATCATAAGAAGGATGGCGTCTACGCTAATATTAGTCTCTCTGTTTATCCCGAGGGACCCTCTATGGTGGACCTGCGCCTGGACCCATCCCAACTCATCCTGAAGTGCCAGCCTCATCAGCCCTGTGAAGGCCTCATCGACACGACGGCCATCGGCACTGATCCTCAACAACTCGTCTCCATACCAGCGTGATTACTTCCACTTCCAACCGGATGGAAATGGATAAATACTCTAAATGTTCCGATCCAATCTGACTTGTAATGCTGCCCGAATCACACACTGTTCCTTCATTGGCCAGAGGAGAACTGGCCCCCGACTGAGTCTGGGTTCTCCCAAGGTTTTTTCCTCCATTCTGTCACCTGATGGAGTTTTGGTTCCTTGCCACTGTTGCCTTGGCTTTTGGCTTGCTTAGTTGGGGACATTTAATATTCAACAATATTATTGATCTGCCTTACTTAAGGTGAACGTTGACGCAATTTTCTTCTAGAAACAAACTTTGTTGTATTATTTTCATGTTATCACTGTGAAGCTGCTTTGATACAATCTGTATTGTAAAAAGCGCTATATAAATAAATGTGACTTGACTTGACTTAAACTGGCAACATGGAATGTAAGGACTCGCGTGGCATCTTTGACGGACCTCACAGGAGAACAGCCCTGATCTCTGCTGAGCTGAGCCGCTACAACATCAGCTTGCTGCCCTGAGTGAGACCAGGCTTCTGTCTCTCTAACAGAGGAAGGGACGGGCTATACCTTCTTCTGGAAGGTGGAAAACATCTTTATGGAATAGGACTTGCCATCAAGAACACCCTTCTACCAAGTCTCACAGAAACACCCATTGGCATTAGTGAAAGGCTAATGACCCTCTGTATACCCCTGGCAAAAAAGCAGGGTGAATATGAAGGTGTGTTCCCCTTTGCGGCTGCAAAAGCCTTGTCAACGTTTCCTAGCTGAGAAACTTAGGGAGTTGGAAACTTGTCTGAGCTCAGAAAACACCATGGAACAACAGTGTAACTATATGAGCTCCGTGCTCTACGATGCAGCAGCAAAATCCATCGGCTATAAGAGTAAGATCCACCAAGACTGGTATCAGCATAGATACCATTGACACGTAGACAGCATTGGCAGGAAGCTCAGAGGAAAGTGCAAAAGGAAATACAGGCCAGAATGAGTGGTGGACTGAAAAGGCACATGAAGTCCAGTCCTTTGCTGATAAAAATGACAAGCATAATTTTTATAATGCTGTCAAAACCTGCATCTTCAAACTGTCCTTGCTGTGGCAGTGAGGGCGTACAGCAGGAGGGGGACTGTCAAGACCACCAAGACAAAAGTAGTCTGCCAATGGAGTGCCAATATCCCCCCCACATTTTTCAAATAACTGGGGAGTATTTTCTCTGAGGATAGCAGCATCGACAACGAAATCCAGAGCTGAATTAAACAGGCATCAGCTGGCTTTGGGAGACTTCCGTGTAGTCATTCATAATAAGAACCTTCATCCCTCCACAAAGGTCGCCGTATACCAAGCGGTGTGTGTCACCACCCTCCTCTATAGCTGTGAAGCGTGGGTAACCTACAGCGTCACATCAAGTCCTTACAGCACTTCCACACAAGCTGCCTTCAGCCTATTCTGGGAATCACCTGGCGTAACCGTGTGCCTCACACTGAAATACTTT